TAGCTTCATGCAGGTTCTAGAACTGAGACGTACTAATATGTGTGTGAACATACGAGTACCTGATTAACTGTATGACTGACCACAACCTAAGCAAACATTACATCAACAAGACATCAATCAACAAGTACATTAACAAAGTTAAGACTTCTGCTGCTTAGCTATGCTGTGCTGTGCTATGCTGTGCCGGGAAAGGTTAGGCCCAGTCAGTTAACGTTACCCAGTCCTTGGAACAAACAAAGAGGTCCTTTCCAGTGTTGGTGTAAAGTCCAGTGAGTTGGGAGGCTTCCTAGTGGAGTAAAGTCCTGTCTGGCTGTGTTGCTTTGCTGTTATCTCCTTTGTTCTCCTCACAGAGTTAGCTGTTCCCCACTAACTCTGCTATGACTCCTGTTGCTTGGAAGATCAGCTGGCCTTGTGTCGTAGCTGCTGATTCTGAAGAGAACTTGGTTCACTCTCAGTTAATCCGAAGCAGGTCGCTGCTGTTGAGGAGAAGAGTGTTGCAGGCTGCTGTGAGCAAGCCGGCGAGAGAGCTGGTTTCTCAGGTAGCAAGGCTGACCTGGGCTGGGGACTTGTTGCCCTTTGACGAGCTGAGAGGAGAGAGAGCAGGAGCTGCTCTCCAGAGCAAGCCAAGAAGAGAAGAGAGAGAGAAGAGGGCCAGAGATCTGGTTTTGTTTGGTGACACCCTTGGGGGTCACATGTCACACGCTAACCCACACTGGCTGGCCAGTAAGGTCCATGGGGGGAAGGGTCGTCCCCAGGTGTGAACGGTGAGGAACTGTAGAGTGTGAGTTCCTTTGTCCAGTGGAGCAAAGAAACATTTGGTCTCTTGAATGATGAGTCCCAACATAAAGCAGGTCTAGGTTCTATATTAATACTGTGAAAGTATCACAGCGCTCAGTCCACAGAGAAATGCACACAGCCTGTATACAGAAATTGAGCCTTAAAACCAGCTGTCAGGACTTCTGGAACTTTGTGATGTCACAACAAAGCAGTCACTACTCTCAGCCACGCCCTAAGCCACCAGGACCCACCATTCAACCTTGGATTTGGTTTGGTTGTTTACCTGAAATCTGCTATATTTTTATTGGATCACTCAGAAAATAGTCAGCCAATCAGAAGAGAGGCTCAGAGCCTCTCTGAGCAAACTGTAGGCATTAGTTTGTCATGTGACATGACATCACTACTTGCAAGCCTTGGGAACTGATGTCTACCATGGGGAAAATTCTTTTTAGCCTGGAGTTGGGAATCTTGCCATCAGGATGAAACAGGAATTTTGCCAAACCACTTCAAAATCTCAACAAGTTTTTGTTTAGGAAACATAAAACAACATTCTCCGTACCCGTGACTTTGTTCTTTAGAACTATGTAAGGGGAATAAAAAGAACAACACATTTCTTTCTGTGAGTCAGAGATCAACTGTTGATGCCCCATCCATTTGCACATGACAAGGGCATGGAAATTTGAAAGTCATTATTTGGTGATTATGAGGCACGAAACGCATGAAAATGGGCAATTTGCCTCCACACAAAGATGACAGCAAGGAAGAGTTTTACCATTTTGGGCTCTGACTCAATGCGACTGATTATGTTTGTGATGAGTAAGAGGATTATTTTACCTCTGTTAACTCTGAACACACACAGCACATCATATTGTCTTCTACAGGTAAATCTTCAGCAGCTGAAGTGGCTGCAGCAGCTAAAACTTCTCTGCAGCAGATTGTAAAACTGTATCATGTCATACTCTATGCAGCCAGCAGTCAGCTCATTACCCTAAAGCAAAAGTTAGACAGTGTCATTTAAAAGTGTAATTCTCTCTAATTCACCTCAGTCTGTTATTTATAATGCACTAATGTTTCAGAGCAGCCCTCTCACTGATGAATAATTTTATGTCTCATCATATGAGCCTCCTGTAGCATAATATTGTGTGCTATAAAAAATAAGATCGTAATATTCATTCGAGCCAATTAAATCAGACTCATGGGCCTGTGACAATTAGTCTCATTTGTTTAATTTGTTCTCAAAAAATGTAGCGACTATCCTGACCACAAATTAGCCACCCAGTTATGTGCAGTAGAATGAATCCAGAGTCCAGCTCTCAGTAAATTACTTTTATATTGCGAATAAGAAAAGTGGTGGTATGATGGCTGGCTTGGCTTTTTGTGTTCCCGGCATGAGAGCGGTAAAAACTGTGAGATCTCTCCGTCACCCTGCATCATTAGCTGATCTGTTGGACCTGTGCCACATATAGACTCCACCTGTCTCATTACTCTACCACCCGTGATGTGGCCTGACGTAGACTACACATATAGACAACCATAAATACACAGACATATTAGATGGCTCATACATTAATCAAAAACAACAGTAGAGATCATCCAACAACCTTTATACATCCTTCTAACCTGTAATTGTAAATATTACAATATATTTATAGCTGCTCGACGTTAACTCTGCTTTGTGGCTCCTGTTGCTTGTAAAAATCAGCTGGCACACTTTGTCATAGCTGCTGGTGCTAAATTAAACTTGTTCAGTCCTGATTAATCTTAGACAGGCTTTGGCGTCGCTGCCGTTAGGGTTAGGGTTAAGGTTAGGATGGAACAAAATAAAATGTGGTCTCATCCACCATCTTGAGGTCCAGCACTGTCAGTATCAGTCGCTGAGCTTCTCCCTGGTTCTATGATGTACTGTATTTACTGTATTTAAGTGCCAAATTAAACCTGGATGAAAACAGAACTCTAATCGCTCAAAATATTCAGTTTATATCAAGGGACTTTGGTGCAAAAGATGTTTTCATAATGTTATAACTAATGATGTTTAAAGGTTCTGTCAACGAGATTTTAAACAATAATACAGCAGCAGTGTTTTTAACTCTGCTTTATCTCAGCTGTCTGAAAGTCATTCCTGTGAAGTGAATCCACAACTAAGCAGCTACTCTGCACTGCTGGCTGGTGCTAAGAGCACTCAATCTCTCCAAAGGTTCAAGGCATGAGGTACAAGACTGACAAATGCCAAACCAAATCCCACCAAAGACACAGAGCGTCCAAAGTGACGTAGTTTTCATGTTTCTGATTTTAGTTTGCTCTCGTCAGTCAGCAGTGGAGGACTGAGGGATGAAATGTGTTTGAGCATGCCCCTGCAGAACTACGTTTTGCACAGGGCAGAAAAAAACATTAGTCCTGTTGACAATAAGTCAGTAACGCAGCACTGGGGCTAAATGGGCTGGATCTGTTAGTAATAAGAGCAGCCAGATATCTGTAGGAGAACTCTTCAACCCTGACCGCCCTCCCAACAGAACAGAGAAAGAAGCATAAAACAGCACAAATCATGGAAACCCTCCAAACGATGACAGAGGGTCTCTCTGGAGAAAGGCAAGCTGAGCCAGACAGGCTTAGGAGATACAGGGACACACACACACACACACATAGACAGACTGACATATCTATTCATGCACTGAATTATATGGATGCATAGACACATACCCATAAAACCTCATACACTCACCAATACACACCGAGGATAGATGAACACTGATGCACACTGAAACCCCTTTCACACTGGCCAAAAACCCACTAACACCCACTAACATCTGGCTTTTGTCTTCAGAGGGGAAGGGGTACAATCAGCATTCATTCCTAGGTCAAATGACTCTGCAGAAGTCACGGATGTTTATCGACTCCAGCTCCAATCGGCAGTGATGGAAACATTACTCACTTTTCCAGCGCAACGCTGTAATGCACGCCGCCTCCGTGGGTAACGCAAATTCCATCCATCTCTGCTACAGCAGCACTCAAGCATCGTTCAGTCAGCGTTAAGTTGGAAGCGACTGAAGTAACTACACAGTAACTACTGCTGTTAACTAACTAACCCTGTTTTCTGGTGCACGGCAGGAAAAATAAACGGAAAGGCAACCTTGTCTACTGGTACACAAAGAAAGCCCAACATGAATTTAAAACTTCCATTGGGCCTAAAATCCATTTCACTGAAAAAAAGTGAAACTTTTTTAATATAGCGTGCAAACTTGCATTTCAATCCCACTGAGCTTCAACACATTCTGACAAAAATTCAGTCATACCACAATCAAGTATTCTGTCAAGATCAGGAGACTGTCAACATGTTGATGTTCAGTCCTTGTGGATTGGACGAAACATGTCTTCTAACTCAGTCTTCATTTTGACCTCAGTTCCTCATCCTTTAAAGTTTGGTGCCTGTCTGCACCTTGCCCGGCAGGGGAGGACTAAAACATCCCCATCACAAGCCTCCCTCACAAACCACCAGTTTATTGGTGTAACAGGTAGCAGACTAGTTATACATTCATTATTATCATTAGTTGTTTTGTTGTTTTTTATTACAGGAGAAAGCGGAGGCTACATGTGTGTCATAGCAGAAATATTAAAATATAAAATATTCATATTTATATTATGTCAATAAGTTAGAAGAATATTAGGTGAAGGGCAGTAGTCTCTCTCTCTCTCTCTCTCTCTCTCTCTCTCTCTCTCTCTCTCTCTCTCTCTCTCTCTAAACAATGGTAAACAAAAGTCATGTGACTGCTTTCTGCACTTTTCCGACCGCTCATCAATGATGGATAATTATTATTATTGATGATCATTATCACTCAGTAGCCATCATACACAGTTGAGGTGATGGAAGAGATCCATCAACTCATTCTTGCTTGTTATATCATCGCTGGTTAAGTTGACTGTTCATGGTTGAGACCAAAACGACTCTTAGGCCAATGGGAAACGTCTCGGTTCTCCTGACAAGTTGTCCACTACTGACAAGAATCTGTCCACAAATAGACAGGCTGACAAACACCTGCCAAAGTGCTCAAAGCTACCTGTGTGGTAGTTCCTGCTACAGTATGTGTCTGCAGGACAACATTTTGCCATGATGACACACACACACACACACACACACACACACACACACACACACACACACACACAGTCATATTAACACAAACACACACATAGAGGAGGATGAATGTATTTAAACAGACTATTCTTACCCAGACAGTTGTGTCCGTCATGGGCCAGCATGAATCCATCATAGCAGGTGCACCTGTAGTTTCCTGGTATGTTGATGCATTCATGGACACAGCCCCCGTTGTAGTCGTTCTCACACTCATCCATGTCTGAAAGAGAGAAGATTTTATTTTGTCTTTTAGTTCTGCCGTTGTGTGCACACTGTCAGTTGTTACACAGGAATATTTTCCTCTCTCTGAGGCCGTTTGTTGGCATTGACTCTTGTACTTACACAGTGAGATCATCCATCATTACAAACATAAAACTGCAACTGGTTTGGTCAAAGTTTCTGATTTACTGACTGTTTCCTTGTCAGTGGTGTGTAATGTCACACAGCCCTTCCCATCAATCACTGGACACGTGATTTTTATATTTTTAAGGCATCTGTGGTGGAATTGGAAGCTGTTTCTTAAACAGTGATGTAGAATCTATCACATCTATCGATGTGAATTCAACACATTGTCAGTACAGATTTGACTAATACATTTATATATACACTTATTTATTTGTCTTTTGAGTTATCGATCACTTCCTAGATTGCTTTGCATTTGCCAGCTCTCTGATCAGTAACCATGGGAAATAAGAGGAGCTTCCAAGGGCCATCACCTGCCCCTGGTGGCTGTATATGATACAGATACTGCAGACATTACTCATGTCTGGACATCAGTCAGAGCTGCTAAATAAAGAGTCTAGTGACAGTATTATGACAGTGTGTTTGTTAGAGCAGGAGAGAGGGATGACAAGAAGACAAACAGATATGAGGCAGCAGGTGACTATATCCAAACAGAGGATGATGATGATGATGATGATGATGATGTTCTGATGAATGACTTCAATGTTGTTCTACAATAATACCCCCAGCTGCAATGATGCAGGAAGGGAGGGATAAGACCCCCCCCCCCCATCAACCCACATCTCCATGCTGAGCCTGTGGAGCCTTTCACAGGAGCCACTCACAAGTGGTTGCCATGCGGAGCCACTTAAATAAACAGCCCTCCCCTCCGTGTGAACAGCAGGAGCAAGGAAGACCCCATCCCACATCCTCCTCTGCTGTCTGTCTGTCAGCGCTCCACTTACATACCTGCTCGCTTATCTACCCGTCTGTCTGTCTATCTACCTGTCTTTCAGCATGTCCAACAGTTTGACAACTGACATCAGTGACATCACTGATAGCAGCCCCTTCGCTCCTCTTGCAGGTGTGATAACAAAAAGACTTTCTATATATCACGAACACCACAACACCAGACTCAACCAACTCATTCCCTCAGTTTTACCAAGAGTATTCTTGAGCAAAATATACTGTTTATATATTATTTTGAAGGACAATACCAATATAATCATTTTTAGACTGAACAATCAATAGTTATTATTCAGTGCAGATAAATATTTAAAGGTCTTCTAATTGTAACAATCACTGGTAGGAATTTGAATGTTTTTCGGACTGTAGCAGCACACTATAATGCACTCAGTATATCATACTGTATACGGCAATCTGATGTGTTTGGGGAATTTACCACCACGTTGAGCTGGGAGGTAATAATTAAAGATACAGTTTAAGTACTATTAAGTATGGGTCATTTCCCTTAAAACCATTCAGACCCTGACAGAGAGGACATTTTTGGCAGATAGAAGTCAGTAGAATTTATCCTCTAGAGACCTTGAATATCTGCAGCAAATTTTATAGTAATCCATCTAATAATGAAGATAGTTCTCCGTGAAGCACAAATATCAACCTCATTACAGGAAAAGTTACAGGTTCAGCAAAGGGATTGTTTAGCCTGGTTTTACCAGCACTGAAGCCCAGGGTGTCACAGAAAGGCTAAAAGGAGAAGCTAAATGACTAAGCTAATCGATTAGCTAATAGGAAAAGGAAATGGAAATTGAAGAGGGGATCCAAGAATGTATTCCCATTTTTAAAATGCCTTTTCAAATAGTTTTTCAAATTCTATTGTTTATTCATAAATTAATAAATGGTTTATTTAGTGTTTTATGTTGTTTTTGTAAATCCATTTTAAAATTTATTTATTAAAGTATTTATTGATGGATTAATCAATCACTTATAAATTGTCCATCATGCCTATTAAAATATGAAATTAAGGAAACGCTTTATTACTTTTCCTGTGACATCGAGTTATCAAGATATTTGAGTCTGGACCAAAGAAGGGGACCAACCCAGTGACAACACCATCATCCCTAGAGCCATGGTTACTAAACCAGGATCTCACCAACCCTGTGGCCTTGGATTTAGATATTAGCAACAGTAAATATGTTATGAGAAAAAACTTAGTGCCACCTGAATAAAGTTTTTGGTTTTTTTTATCAGCATGATTAGTGAATCTAGAGTTCATACTGAACATATTGTATGTAACACAGTGACTGACAATAAATTTAATTTGTTTTCCTACAATATAACGTCCAGTCACAGCAACTGCAGCATGATGAATGTTTTAATGGTTCAGGTTACACAACAGGACATGTTTACTTTGTGAAAATTTAGCCAAAACTACAATCACTGCCTCACCTTAATCAAAGTATTTTACTAAGTTAAACCTGACCACAGTCAGAACATGATGCTGTGTCCTGACAGTATGACCCCACCATCCTACACAGGGACATGGAGCTTCTCTGACTGAAAGAAGATGATTACTGCCTCTTCAAAATATGTGAAACAAATTAGTACTACACAGACACAATTTCTAGGATAGCTGGTGTAACAGTGTGTGTGACACCTAGACACTGGTGTGACTAAAGCAGATGAAAATTTAGGTCCAACAAATCAGCAGTTGTGAACTTAATACGAGTCTAGGCTTTCTTTGTTTGGATGACAAAGCTTTTCAGGAAGCAGTTGAAAACTCTCAGTGACTCAGGTTTGATGGATAGGCGGAGACCGATGTCTCCGAGCAGGAACGAGATTTTGGCACACAGCAGTGACGGATGACACACACACACACACATACATACCATACACAGACATAGCTCTCAGCTTCCTCATCCTGCATGTGGACAAAAGCCTGACCTGGACACTGAGCATATATACACACATTACCAAGACAAGAACACATGCAAATGTGCCGATGCACACAGAAAACAACAAATGCGCATACGGACTCACATACCACAAGTACAGACGTAAGGATTGAAAATGAATACATTCACACACTACATGTGCAACACATACACATACACACTCAGACATGTTCGTACTTTTAACGTGGTGATTTTGGCTGCAGTAAAATCTCTTTGAAGAGTCAAAAAGGAGACAGACATAAACATGAAAAGACCCTCATCTGAGAGGTTTCACTTTGTTAGAAACCGTTATGAAAAAAGCCAAATCAATGCCACATTCTGCACCATGAAGCGCCAAAGACATGTTTACCGGAAGCCAATTATGCAGGCCAACACACATCAGTGCATTTGAACTCTGTTTGTCTGATTTCTGACAAAGGAGCCCCATCTCTGGACTTGAAGGGCCACTCCAGCATAATTGGAATTAGACGAGAAGATAAATATCTCATCCTATTACATTCAATACTCTAATACGAAGCAGGAACCTGAGCCTTCTTCAAAAAGTGACCAAATAGCTTCAAATGAGCTGCATGTGTGTGACAACAGGCAGAGTTCACTTTAAAGGAAGGGAAACATAACAAATGACAAGAAAAAATCAATCATGGTGGAATTATGCTTTAAAGACCGTAAGTCTTGTGTATATAAACTCCCCACAGCCATCAGTGGCTCATCCTAAAAGGCATTTGCAACCAATTAGGGTGAGCTGAAGAGGGCGACTGTTTGGGGAAAGGTTGTTTGGACACTTCGCTGTGCTGCCAGTTCAGATGGCTCGGTTCAGCAGGATGTGGCACCTCCTATGTGCTCTGCTTTTCATCTGTCGTAGATGAATGGAGAAGGTAAAGACGAGAAGTAAAGGAGAACGGGGGGGGGGGGGGGGGGGGGCTTCACTGAGGGTGACTGAAAAGCAGCAGGTGATTAATTTGTGGCTGAAATACTTCAAACAGACAGACTGAGTCTACATTAACACTACACATATTTTCCTCTCTCTGTCTTGCCTTTCATTCACTAAGCTGGTGTTTTAAAGGTTATTTTCATCTGTCCATCCCATTCTCATGGACGCGATATCTCAGTAACGTTTTGACGGAAGTGCTTCAAATTTGGCAAAAACATTCACTTTTTTTTTAGAGGTCAAAGGTCAAGGTCATGGTGACCTCACAAAACATGTTTTTGGCCTTGTGAACGCAATATATCTGTAACACCTTAAGGGATTTTTTTCGAATTTGACACAAACATTCATTTGGACTGAGGGACGAACTGATTAGATTTTGGTGGCCAAAGGTCAACAGACACCGGACACCTCCAGCCAGGAGACGAACATTACACTTATGTGGTATGCACCTTAACTATTATATAGTTAGATATATAACTATATACAGACTACCAGGGCAAAATCAGAGCATTTATAAATCATTCTCCAGAATGGATAAACTGTACTGTAATGCAAAACATTATTAGCTGAAGAGAACAGGAGGGTCACACCTGAACACTGTATGGACAGGTAGGAATCTGGTTTATCTGTCTGAGGCAAACTGCAGCTGCAGGTTGGGGAGATTCACACCTGCCCTGGGATCTAAAGACTCAGGCTACATCTACACTAATACGTCTTAGTTTTAATCACTTTTCCTACGTTTGGCCTCCACAAGATTCTTGTGTTGTGTTGTAGTCTGGACGGACAGAAACAGAGACCTTTGGAAACAATGATGTAGACACCCATAATCTCTCCTGATTGGGTCTTATCGGTACAAATAATGAATTACGACTGTTACTGACCTCGTTGTCTTTGCAGCTGTTGTTAAATTCTGCATTTTAACACAACAACTGTATTTGTTGTTCCTCGTTCCAATCTCCACCTCTAAACCGTACTCAAAGATATCACTGTTTCTAGCAAAGCTGAAGCCACACACAGTGCATGATGTGATGTGATCTTATCATTGACATATCTTTGTTTCTGTTGTCAGATGACTCCAATTTTAAAATAACTGATTTGAATAACAACAGCAACCATCCCACTGATTAGTTAGATAATGTGAATAACATCAACCCA